CATCACAGTGACCTGCTATAGACTCTAATTCTGGGCCACGTAACTCTCACCACCATCACAATAACCCGCTGTACATTCAAACACTGGGCCACATAACCCTCAACAAAGTCACAGTGACCCACTGTACACTCTAACACTAGGCCACATAACCCTCACCACCATAAGTGACCCACTGCTGTAACACTGGGGCATATAACCCATACGACGATCATAGTGATCCACTGCTCTACACTCTAACACTAGGCCCTATGACTCCCAGCAGGATCACAGTGACTTGCTGTACACTCTAACACTGGGACTTGTGACCCTGACAAGAATCACAGTGAGCCACTATACACTCCAACACTGGGCAATATGACCCTTAGCAGGATCAGAGTAACCCACTGTACACTCTAACACTGGACCAATATGAAACTCAGCAGGAGCACAGTGACCCACTATACACTATAACACTGGGACCTATGAACCTCAGCAGGATCACAGTGACCCACTGTATACTCTCACACTAGGCTTAATGACGCTCAGCAGGATCAAGGTGACCCACTGTACACTCTCACATTGAGCCTTATTACCCTCTGCTGGATCACAGTGATCAGCTGTACACTCAAACACTACGCAGTATGACCCTCAACAAGATCACAGTCACCTGCTGTACACTTTCACATTGGGCCCTATGACTCACAGGAAAATCACAGTGACCCACTGTACACTCTCACACTGGGCCCTATGACCTTCAGCAGCATCAGAGTCCCTTGCTGTACACTGTAGTCCTGGGCCCTATGACCATCAGCAGGATCATAGTGGCCCACTATGCACTCTCACACTGGGCCCTATGACCTCAGCAAGAAAACTGTGACTCACTCTACACTCTTAACACTGGGCCTTATGGCCCTCATAAGGATCACAGTGACCAGCAATACACTCTAACACTGGGCTCTATGACCATAAGAAGGATCACAGTGACTTGCTGTACACTCTAACACTGGGCTTTATGGCCCTCAACAGGATCACAGTAACCTGCTGTATACTTTAACACTAGGCCCTATGACCCTCAGCAGGATAATAGTAAACTGCTGTACACTCTCACAATGGGCCTTATGACCCTTATGATCACAGTGACCAACTGTACACTCGCACACTGGGCCCTATGACCCTCAGCAGAATGACAGTCACCCCTGTACACTCTCACACTGGGGTCTTTGATCTTTAGGAGGATCACAGTGACCTGCTGTACACTCCCACATTGGGCCCGATAACCCTCAGCAGGATCACAGTGACCCGCTATACACTCTCACATTGGGCCTTATGACCCTCAGCAGGATCACAGTGACCCGCTATACACTCTCACATTGGGCCTTATGACCCTCAGCAGGATCACAGAGACTCATTGTACACTTTCACACTGGGCCTTATGACGTTCAGCAGGATCACAGTGAATGGCTGTACACTCTCACATTGGGCCCTGTGACCCTCAGCAGGATCACAGTGAACTGCTGCACTCTAAGACTGGCCCCTATGACCCTCAGCAGGATCACAGTGAACTGCTGCACTCTAAGACTGGCCCCTATGACCCTCAGCAGGATCACAGTGACCCACTGTACACTCTCATAATTAGCCTTATGACTCTAAGCAGGATTACAGTGACCCACTGTACACTCTCACACTGGGCCTTATGACCCTCAGCAGGATCACAGTGACCCGCTGTACAGTTTCACAATGGGCCTTATGACCCTCAGGAGGATCACAGTGACTGGCTATACACTCTCACAATGGGCCCCATGACCCTCACCAGGATCACAGTGACCCACTGTACACTGTCACAGTGGGCCTTATGACCCTAAGCAGGATCAAAGTGACCCACTGTACCCTTTCACACTGGGCCATATGACCCTCAGCAGGATCACAGTGAACCACTGTACACTCTCACACTGGGCCCTATGACCCTGATCAGGATCACAGTGACCAGCTGTAAACTCTCACACGGGGCCATATGATGCTAAGCAGGAGCACAGCGACCTGCTGTCCACTCTCACAATGGACGTTATGATCCTCAGCAGGATCACAGTGCCCTCCACACACAATAACACTGGGCTGTATGACCCTCAGCAGGATTACAGTGACCCACTGTACATTTTCACACTAGGCTTTATGACACTCAGCAGGATCAAGGTGACCCACAGTACACTCTCACACTGGGCCTTATGACCCTCAGGTGGATCACAGTGATCAGCTGTACACTCTAATACTGGGCCCTATAATCCTGAGGAGGATCACAGACACCTGCTTTACACTGTCATACTGGGCCTTCTGACCCTCAGCGGCATCACAGTGACCCACTGTATACTCTCACACTGGGCCTTATGACCCTCTGCAGGATCACAGTGATCAGCCATACACTCAAAAACTGGGCCCTGTGATCCTCAGCAGGATCACAGTGACCAACTGTACACTCTCATAATGGGCCTAAAGACCCTCACTGGGATCACAGTGACCCGCTGTACACTCTCAAATTGGGCTTTATGACCCTCAGCAGTACCACAGTCACCTGTTGTACACTCTCACAATGGGCCCTATGACCCACAGCAGAATCACAGTGACCCACTGTACACTCTCACACTGGGCCTAATGACAATCAGCAGGATCACAATGACCTACTGTACACTCACAAACTGGGTCCTATGACTCTCACCAGGATCACAGTGACCTGCTGGACACAAT